TTGGAGTTTAGACAATCTATCAGGATGGTCAGGTGTATTCTTGGCCATTTCTATAGACTAAAGCCTCTTATAAAACTAATTTTTGTCACCTTTGCTGTTGTCTATTATGATCTCATAGCACTGAATGATATTCGTTGTAATTTTTTTGTCTTTTATTGAAGGATACTTCAATGACTATGGAGCCATGAGATTATCATTCTATAAGCTATTTTCACGCTACTTTGTACAGCATCATTGCAACTCCTTTGTGTTTTGGGAGCATTTACTTCTTAATATCTAGAATACATAGTATATTTTCAGAAGTTAGTCATTTATTTCTAAATTATTTGCAATGAGTTTCACTTATTCTATTAGAACCATGTCACAACTTTTCATTGATGTACCTGTTTGAAAAATTCATTGTATCTCCCACATTGTTAAGACGTTCCACGTGCTTACATGAATTGTTGCAAAACATTAAGCGTTCTTTGTGGTTAAATATGAATAAATCAATTATCTTTGAATTCTGAGATCGTTATCTTGCTTTACTTTAATACTATATTTCAAAAACAGAAGTGAGAACAAAATTTTCGAACGTACTAGTTTTACCTTGTAAATAAGAGTGGATGACCTTTTTATCACTGAGTTATTCAGAAAAGTCAAATCTCTTTTCACATTTATACTACTGTTGACCATTCATTCATAATATTCTGCTTCTGAGATACAGGAAAATGAATACATTTTAAAAGACTTTTAAATACGGCCATATGAATGTTTATACGAATTTAATGACATTCGAATATTTGTTATAAGCATAATAATTCCTTTCGGGGAGTAAGATCGCAAGAAACTTTAACGTACTTAGCGTTTATATTTCGATAAAATGAACCAGTTAAAAATTATACGTGAAAGAATCATGTAACGCGTATATAGTTCTGTTTATAGAATGCATCTTAAATATACAATGAAAAAGGTGTTTGAGTTTAGTGTCTTGTGAAAATACACAAATTTTCTATATTATATAAGTTCTATTTATATTAAACTTTGAGTATAATCCCCCTGTGTTATGTTTTTATGCGCATTATTAGTTCATTACGTAATTTCTAAGTTCAAAGTTGTTGTTAACATCAGTAATTTATTTAGTTATCTTGTTCTCATTAAATACACGCATACATTATTACATCAAAAGATATTACTATTTTTTTAAAAAAATGATATTCGTTTCCTTTTTACAATTCGCAGACTTTAATTCCTGACATCTCCATGTCACTTTTTTTATCCAAAATTAATCTTTTTTAAAAACATAATTCCTAGATATTCCTATAGTGTAATAGGATATTAAATATATATATATATATAATGAGATTTTACGTAATGTGAGATTTCTTTTTAATTTCCTCATGCGAAACAGGAAAAAACGTGTTTAACTAACTTTTATATACTTGTCTGTCTGTCTTTCTTGTTTCTGTTTAGTAAATAAAGGTGTCGGCATTTGTTTTCGTATATAGACCTTAGAGTAAAACACTTGAAAGAATGCATGTCTACAAGCACAAGTTTATATTTACAAAGTTTTAACGCAATCAGCTACACGAATAACCCTTCGATAAAAGTCTGTATTTTTGACATAAACTGACATAAATTTCATTCTTGCAAAGAAGTATATAAATAACGTTTAAAATATTATTATTATTATTATTAGTCTGGTATTTGTATATAACACCACTAAGAATAGTTTATAATTTAACTACTCACTATTTTAAGTAGAAGTACTGCTGATAGCAACACTTACAACAAATAAAGACTAATGATGTACCAGAATAACACTGACTACAGTTTTAAATACATTTACAGGTGTTTCATTTTCATTTCTTTTACGTAATTGACGTGTTACTATTCTCATTTTTATGGGAAGTATCGTAAAACTGTTAGTTTTAATGATGAGAAATAATAAACAGTTGTAAGTAAAAAATAATAAAAGACAGAGGGAAGGAATCATGTCAAAGAAATTAATTATGTAAGAAAAAGTAATAACAAAAATTTTCAGAACTAATATGTATAAGCGTTTTGTTTTTAAATACAACCGATTACACCTAGGTATGCACACATACCCAGCTGTGCCTGTAGCTCTTCTAGGGTTACTGCCGATTTCAATCCCGGGTAAAGGGGGAGGGTTGGGCATGGATTCAGCAACCCCATACCGTAGGAAACAAGCTTGCCAAAAAACGCTAGCCAGAATACACATATACACATCTATATGTAGACAATATAGTGTAAGAATATACTGAGAAAAAAACAATCGGTCATACTGATAGAAATCTTATTGTCAGAAAGAAAGAAATTTTGAAATGTTTTATTTTAATGTAATTAGAATATTAACATTTCGTTTTACACCTAGTCTCTTTTCTAACCGTAATATTTATTTCTGGCAAATCAAAACTTCTTGAATGACCAAGTGACTGTTATTGCAATACATAGTTAGCTGAAAAATAATCAGAGCTTGAATTGAATTCCCCACATGAAACTTATTTGCAGCATTCATTTATTAAAAGAATGGGACAATGCAAGATGTTAAAGGTATATTGAAGCAGATGTGCTATAATTTTATGGCATAATAAACCATAAAGTGTTATTCTATTTTTTTCATTCTGTTTCAGTAAGGTTTGTACCACAGTACTCACTGAATAATTCTACTGACACAGAAATATATCGAATAAATATAAATGCACATCTTAGTTGCTTTATAGTTTAAATACAGTATGAAATAAACGTTTTATGAAATAAACAGAGTTACAGATGGAAATGCTAACAAATTATAAACTTCTTGACATATAAATGCCTTTTCATTTGGTAATTTTAACTATTGAAAATGTCTCTTGGAATATTAAATGTATTTTATACAAATTTTGTCTGGACAATCAGTTAAAACTAATTTTATGAACTCTAACAGCAATGTTTTCAGTAATTAGTTTATCGATCTTGTTACTAGACATTACATCTAATTAGAACAGGTTATTCATTTAACTATCCAATTAATGTAATAGTATTGAGAAGTATCATTTTTTAATAAGTTTTTCGCTTCTTGACACATTATTAACAGTCATCTTAAAGGGATAAACTTTATCCATTGAAAAAACTAAAATAAATATCCCATATACTTTTAAACTTTCGATTAAAATACTATCGTTGTTGACGTATTGGTGCGTAAAATCGTATAGTTTTGTTTGAGAGTAATTTATTGAAGGGCCACTCAACTCCTTAATTAATCAATAAACTACATGGATTTCTGTGAATTTCAGCCAAATCAAACCTACTGAGCTACAAATGGATATGAAACAATATCTTTCTTTCTCAATCATATGTTGCAACATAACTATCCAGAATAATGTCGCATAGTTAATGTGTTGATGCTTCTGAATTACAAAAGCAACTGTGGTTAAATTTTATAGATAGTTCCTGAAGAGAAGAAAATCATAGAAGTTTCATAATGAGGGCTTTCTAGATGAAACGTGATCCATTTCTATTTTTCAGTATCAATTTATAAAAAGTTTTTAAGAGTTAAAGAATTCCGCTTCATGAAAATTTGTTCTTTGTATATTTCCGTAAATTTGATGCATCTGTAGTTCTTTAACCCAGTTTTATTTTGTATGAGTATTTATTTCTCACGAAAAATGCATTTAATTAAATGTCTTAGAAATGAACATCGGTTTCACACGTGAGTTATTAATCGATGGCCCAGTATTTCCAAGTTTTCAATGTGGGTCTAGCTTAGTTCGAAATTTCAAACTGTAAAATCTCTATAATCGCTACAAATCAATTATACTAATAAAATTATTAGTCTCCACTTCAAATGTTTCTATAGATTTCCCACAAATTACTTTTTATTCGTCACTCAATGGATTAAATGTTTAGATGACCAAATGAGGATAGTGAAAAGACAAAAGCTATTTATTCTATGTGATGAATCATTTATACAGATTAACGTTTATTTATGTTTTTCAATGTCTATAGATTAAATATATTTTAATGTCGAATTTTTTATGTCAACATAAATGATCAATACCATCCATGTAGCACACTGTCTTCTACACTCTTCTAGACCATAGAATCATAATAAAAGAATTGTTCGAGTTGTTATGACTTAAATGCCTTTACATTTTGCCATTAATATCGGTTGAAACACAGGACGACAATAAATATTTATGGCGCAATTTGGAGTTATGAGAACGGTATTAAAATAATACGGACCCTCATATTAGTTAAATATCTTTCTCTACAAGCCAGTAACCAATTTAAAAATGTTTTTCAATTATGTAAATGAAGCGTGATATAGGGATGTAAGAAAAGTTTAAATTCACTCTGATCAAATTTAAAACAACTTTTAGTATTTTATAGGTATCATTACCAAGTTATGACTAGATAATTTCGATTAAATTGAGCATTGGGTAGATTATTATGATTAAAAATAGTATATTTGTAATATGATACGACTTAAAATTGGGTTAATTTTAATTTGGTCATTTGTCCGCTGAAGAAATGGCTTACGCAGAGTCACGAAACGTCAAAAAACTAATTTTTCTACTCATTGAGATATCTTACAAATATATTATTTCCATTTACAACTTCTAGTAATGTTTTCATAATTCCCATATTTTCTTTTATTCGATCATTTTCTGAACTAATTTTCCTCATGGGTTAACTAAAACAAATAAACTAACCTGAATATTTTCTTGACTAAACTAATCAAACAATTAGAACACATCGTTTTCAAAAATGATTTGTTGATTTTTCAACCAATCATAACTTCTTGTACTTTAAACCAATCAAATTGTTACCATACTTTGGTCATTCACTTGGTGGTTTCATTTGCTTAGTTCACACTTCGTGTTCATGCTTTATAGATTTTAGGATGCTAGTGAGATAATAAACTTAATAAATTTATTGGTACATTTTTAAAGGACACTGATCAGTTGATCTATAATAAGATTATCTTGTGGATTTATATCATATTATGCACTACGTAGAAAATTAATACGAAAATCACTTTGAAATTAGTCAATGAACACTTTCGTAACAAGTTGGTAAGTCAACATTTACATTTAACTTTTATTAATACGTTGTAGTTTAACATTTTTGTGCAATTAATTTGATATTTTCTCGTGAAATTTAGATATTTCACATTTAAATCTTTACATAAGTGCACAAGTTTGCTTCATCTAAACCACTACTTTTCCATTGAAAACTCTTTATTAAGGATTATATATATTTCATTTGTTCAAGATGGATTTGATGAATTCGCCACACTTTGAAATCGATGATCAAATCCGACATTAAATTGAATGTAAATGTTAAAATATGTTTTTTGTGTATTCTTAAATATTCCACAATTCAGTTTAATGTTAAATGCCTATCAACAGATTCATAAAAAACGGAATATCAAGTTACTGATCTTGCTCCATAAACTGAGTGACAAAGCATGGTTAGCAAATAATAATGAATACAAATAATGAATGACATCAAATATTCTATAACGTAATTGTTTTCTCCATTTTGGCTGGTATGTTTATCATCAAATTATGTTTGTTTTGACTAAAGGCTTACACTTACTACACTGAGTTAAAACTCTTAATCAGTAGGATATTTTTCACATCTCAGAGACTGTATCGCTGAATATAACATAATAGAATTTCGCCGAAGTAATTACAAAATATTTGATGTAAATTATAAAGCAACGTATGCCATTTCACATAAGTCGAAATGCTTCTTATCAAAAATTGACTCATTTACGGTGAGAAATTCACCAGTAGTTGTATCAGGGATTGACAAATATATTACTATCGTAATGAAAAATTAATTTTATGAAAGCTTCATTTAGACTTAACTGATTTCATTTGAAAAAATGCTATTGGTCATCTACATTCATTTGATGCCAAGCTTACATCATGAAAATAAAAATCCATACCACCTTTGGTTCGATATTACTTGTTAATATTAAACTTTTGATAATCATCAAGGATGACACAATATTTAGATTTCGATTGAACAACAGCTTACAATCAAACAAAAAACCTAAACTTATGTATTACATTTTAATAATATCAAACTGTAATTTTACTTATGTATTTTCTAGAAACGCTTTTTGGGTTTCTTAAATTTTAAACATTTCCTTTATTTAACTATATAATACACCCATATCATCTACATTTTAACAATGGTTATAATAATCTAAACAAGTTATCAACACATAAGCTGATATTAATTCTTCAGTTAAGGTTAATACCAAAAAAAAAGCGTCAGCAAATTTTTTATATTACATATTGGTTGTTTTCTATTACACTTGAAGTTACAAGAGTTTGAAAAACACTTTATTTCTTCTATGATATGGATCAACTAACCTAATTACTTAATAATAATAATAATTTGCTTTTATAAATTAAGGCATTGTATTTTTCTGATAAATAATTTCATAATGATTAACACTAAAAAAAAATTTAAGGTCATCTTAGTGTAAGACACCAGGACAATAAATTGGAGTTTCTTTAACTAGTACTTGGTTTTATTGTGTTAAAATTATTGTACAATCAATTGTTCAGGATGTAATAAGGACACAACATCAAATAGGAGAAGGCTATTTCCTTTATTTATTTATCTCTTGTAAACTAGTCTTAATGAATAGGAAGTTGCCAAAAAAATGAAACAATTATGATATAGAACATTTTATTGTTAGAAGATTGTCGTGACCAATGTTATCGGAAATCTTAAGCCCGTAAAATATTATATATATATATATATATATATATATATATATATATATATATATATGCATGTTCAAATTTCCTCAAACAAACAGTTCTTTCTTGACACAGATTCCCACTTAAAATTAATGTTGTAATATAAAAATGGATTATCATCTATAATGGCCTAAATAACTGGTATATTATTTTACTAGTTGAGATCATGAGTTAGTTGAAGCTAGACTACCATGGAAAACCTGGAAGCACTGAAACACTGTTTCGTCCTATTGTTGGTCTCATCCATGATCCCGCCTCTCGAGATTCGAACACAGGACATATCAGTCTCACGCGCGGAAGTTTAACCTCTAGACCACTGAGATGGGCCGGCAATCAACGGTGTTCATGTATAACTTCAACTAAGTTACGAAATTGAGCGACACGTTCACCAAAGTGTTCCGTGAGTTACTATCTCACAACAGACCCGAGTGAACTCCACTGGTCACTGCTTCTCACTAGAACTCCGGGAAATACCTTTTGAAGCAAGTCACTTCTAAGGAGTCCCACAATGGGACGAAATGGCCGTCCAGTGCTTCCAGGTTTTCCGTGGTGGTTTAGCTTCAATTGACTTATGATCTTAACTATTAAGATTAGGATATTATTTGTTAAACATTCATTAATCTGTACTGTGTATCATGAACGTGGCAAAAAAGCACAAAAATGTTGCTTAATTAATTTTTAAGCGTCTTATTTTAACTGTTCAATGACAAAACTGTCGATCAAATAATTAATGAAATTTATAGGTTCGTCTTGATATTTAAGTCAAATATTTTATTTAGATTTCAAGTAAAAAAGATCATCCTACTGAATGAATTCGAATAATTGATATTTCACTGTATTTTTTAAAAATTTTTAAGTGGCACTTCAGGTAGACTACCTTGTCTGAATCTCCAACATATAAAATGCAAAGAAATCACTATGATGCTTAAAATGATAAATAATTTTGGGATATATTCGCTGATATCTTTATTAAAAATCATGCTTCATAGATGAGTTGTTCTGAAGATCATGTGTTTGATGATGTAAAAGAATTTGTTTTGTAATGCACTAATTACTACACCATTTCAACATAGCGAGAATATTAAGAGTCGAATTAGTAGTAGTGTTAGTCATATTAAAAATGACAAATGTTGATTACAGTACTAAAATTGTAGAAATAAACGTTTGGAATCAAAATCAATATTAAAACTTGAGTATAAATTGAAGATAAAGATTGGGAAAATTTGTACAACTATGAAGGATCTTGTGTCATGTTATCCAACGCTCCCAACTATTTATGATAATTGTCAAATAAGACCCAACCAAATAATATTCATTTTCAAAAAAGTTTCAGATCAGTGGTCACTAGTTTCACGAATTAAGGTCAGGCCTTTGTTTGATTCCCAAAAGTGAGGCTTCAGTCTACCGCTAGTCTAGCCGAACCGCGTGTCGCAGTTGCTGACAATATGTATAATATGACCCAACCAACTTGGTCGATGAAAATTGAATGCTTCATCAACCAGTTTGTTGGCTTTCTTAGTACCTTGATAATAACCTTAAGAACGCTCAGTCCGTGGCTCTATTATATATAAGAGATAATTTCGTTAGACTTATCCCTATTTTTTTTCAAATATGTAGAGATTACTGGTGGGCCGCTTATGCTCCTCCACGAAGGGTAACAGATGTAAGTAAGTAAGGGTTCAGATTAATTTCCCAATATATACCATATTTCTTGTATTATCTGGTGAATGCATTCACAAGCCTAAAAGACTGGATGTTTAGTATTGAATTTATCATCAAAACCAAAGTATATTACTCTTTATGGACAATCATTAATTTCATGTGAAAACTGAATTACATAGTGTTCACTGAAAATCCATCCCTTGTTTAAATGAAAGAATTGTGTAATCTATAATTCTAGAATGAATCTTACTTAAAAAAAGTTAAATGTATACTGATGATGAGTATTTTACAAAAAGAATGGAGAAACTTTTGTTTACTTTTTATATTTGAATATTAATATGTATTAACTGAATACTGAATCCTAATTTAAACGAGTATAACCATCATAAACCATTTGACAAATTTAAATAGATTACAATGAATTTTTACGTTTTATCAATTTAAGATACATCAATATTCACTTAGTAAATTAAATTAACAATATAAACTATCTTTGAAGTACTTTTATAAGTAAGAATAATTATAAAATTAACTTGGAACATATAGAGTATTGTGTTAAGGAACTAATAGTAATTAAATCAATTATATAGACATAAACTATATATATATATATATATATATATATATATATATATATATATATATATATATAATAAAATATTAATTGTTTATTTATTCTAATAAGAAAATATAATACATTGATAAAATAAACAATAAATTGAACATGTTCTTATTCTATTCCCTAGTCAATTAATTTTTATTGAATATTAATAACTAATCAATTTTTCACTCTTTTAACGTCATATAAATTCATTACTATTTAATTTTCTTTTGTAGTTAGGAAAACTGTTATCCTCTTTCTATTATTATTATTATTAGGAAAAGATATATAGCTAAACAGGCAACGTAACATGATAGTAAAGTATGTGAAAACCATCAGAGCAGTTTCAAACCAAATCACTTACAAACAAAAAAAATTTTTTTTCGAAAAAAATGATAGTTCCACTAACAACTCCCTAAAGGCAAATAACTTAAATGTTCATTTTTGTTTTCTTTTCTACTAAGTAATATAAATTATAAAGAAATTTTAAATAAATTTATATGTCTCGTAATAGAACGAAACGGATGTCCTGTGCATCTAGGTTTTCTATGGTGGTCTAGCTTCAATGGACTCATGATCTCAACTATTGTAAATTTATGTTTTTTTTGACAAAAATGTCTATTTTTTGTTTATCTTATTTCTTAAAATGTAAGTTTATGTATAATTTGTAGATCAATTAACTAACTTTCTTTCTCTCGTCTATAAATGATTGGGTTTCGGTTTGTTATGTGATGAGTCATTTTTTAATAATGACAAGTGACAAAATGTTATAATAGGAGGTATATGTTGTTGATAATTTAAAATTTATGTTAAAAATAAAAATTATATATTTTTAATTGAGATCATGGACTGATTGATGTTAGATCACCATCAAAAACCTGAAAGCAGTGAACGGCCGTTTTGTTCTATTGTGGGACTCCTCAGCACTGCGCATCCACAATCCCGCTCGCGGGATCAATCGGTTCATGATCTCAATTAAAAACTTAATAACCACCACAACCCCTATACTGATAATTACTATGTGCTT